CTAGCAGCACAAATGTGCTTGACTGAGGGCATGAATTCAAGGAAATCATCTCCAATATTTTTCTGTCCCTTTTTGACTACTTAGTATCCACTCAAACTGTAATGGAGAAATATGTGTGCATTTCACAGTGTACCTTTTTCAGTACCATCACACTGAATAACATTCAGTCCCATGCCTAAGTAAAAATATGCTGAGTGGAAAAAATGGTCAGTGCGTTTCAGTAACGAGTAACTCATTTTTTTCCTCACTCCCTCTCTATACATGACCAGGAGATCTTGTTCACCTATCCACTTTGCCCATACCCATTCTCCTTGAGCCTGCCCACCCTCCCTTCGTTGCTAGTCCTGGATTTCAGTGGCATTCTCCTTCCTTCCAGAAGGCATGGGCTACGCCCTATTTTTGAGGCATTTGCCAAGCCCAGCTCACAGTGGTTCCAAACAGCAGAGAGGTGTTTCTTCCAAGACTTCAGCAGGTCACCTAGGGAAGGTCGCTTCTTCGACTCCTTTCTCTAGAGAGTGCCTTTCATATACCCTAACCCTACAATCATCCTCTCCTTCCTCTTGCAGAGTCAGTGTCTTAGGTCATCCATACTGTGTGCCCACATAATGAAGGGATGAGCTGGGAGACTTTATTGACAGCAGGACCACAAAGCTACAAGTAAATGTCTGCTTTTGTCATTATACAATCCAAAATAAATACATTTTATGAGATCCTGCAGGGTCAAGAATGAATGCCCTGCCAACTCGCACACACAGACAGTGAGATTTCACAAAAAAATAAGGTTTTTTTTTCCTAAGAATCCATTCTGTTGGGAAAACAGCCTTTTCCATTAATGGACTGAATCTTGTGTTTTGTGATATTTAAATGAATTACTTTTTTGACATGCTACATTTGGCCAGAAAGTCAAATCCCAGAACAGTGAATCTCACCACTGTACTTTGGCGGGCCTAAGACAATGAAACCCAGCTGAAGAAATGTGATCACAATGTCATATGCTATCTGATTTATTAAATGCGACCCAGACCTAGCTTGTGTCTGGGAAAAAGAGAAATCTCATTCAAATGGCATCAGTGCTCTTTCTTTTAGCATACCAGACCTGCCAAAGGAAGCAGAAGGAAAGAACTGACCCCAGCAAAGAAAAGGTTTTGGAGAAGCTACTCCAGTGTGTTAAGTACAATATTTTGAATCAAGTCACAGCATCTCTGACTCAAAGCTGCAGGAAAAAAGGCAATATCACAGTGACCTAAATGAAGAAGATAACCTGGCGTTGGTTCCTGAACACCAGTTATTTGGGACCACATTTGCATGCTCATACAACAAATCAGGAACTTAAATCATGGTGCTGTACACCTCCAAGGAGCCCTCTAACCACAGAGTCAACTACTGGCTATTCTGGGTGGAAGTCTTCTGGTTCAGTCTCCACCAGACATGCCGGTTTGGATATGAAATTTTCCTGCTGGCAAAAAAGTAATTGGAACCAATGTGCTTCCACAAAAGGCATTCATTTCAACAAATCAGCATCTTCCAGCAAGAAACAATTTGCTGAAAACTTTTTGATCAGCTCGCCTGACAAATTAGTTGACTTAATATCAGGGAGTATTTCTCAACAATGATTAAGGTTAAGTAGCCTTAACTGTTCTGGAGCCCCACTTTGTTACATTCCACATACACACACACACTGAAACCACAAGATGTGTGAACGCCGTCCTGCTGAGATGTTCATTCCTATCTTGGCTTGCAGGTCTGAATCTAAATTATCCTCTGAAACTTTTGAACTTTGCTGTAAACTTCATTCGCACTTCTGGGAATTAATAAACACGGGTCATGATTTATGGCACTGTGGGTTTTACAGACTGGTGTTGAATGAATGAGGTGTATCTCTAGCTGCTCTTCACTGCTGATAAGCAGCTGTGAAGGTTTCTTTGTAAAGGTCTTTTATCCAAGAGCATATTTACCAACCACCACCATGCTTTTTTGTTTCCCGGATGCATAAGAACACTGAAGTGAAGGTCAGGTTGGAAGGAACTTGAGATGGAATCTGACCTGGCATAAAACTTTGAGACCATTAAAGGCAGCCTAAGTTCACTTTTCCCAAGTATGACTAGAAGGAGTCTAGTAGGAACTCTGTCTGGTTTTGCGATACACTCAGCAATTAAGAGTTTATCTATATACTTCCAATAAAATGAGTCTCTCATGCTTAGAGACTAATATTTCTGTATTATCCATAGCTTTTCAAAGGTCTTCTCTTTCACCTATGTGGTTCTAAGCCACTATCATGGATAGGACAGCAGGAAAGGGAGACCCATTAGTGGCCGTATCAGATCAGATCCAATACTGTCTTCTTCTCGTATGATATTTCTCATAGGGTTAGGGAAAATCTTGGAGGTGGAATTTCTTCAGAACATAATCTCTGTTATGGGGGAAGAGCAAGCAGCTGAAAAGCATATTTACGATTTGATAGTTCTAAATACAGTATGTGCTGATCCCAGCTTAATTTGTTTAAATGTAAGTAAAGATGTTTGAATTTATACTACCAAAACAGTGTCTTCCGCAGAACAGGCAGAGAGGGGATCACTATACCTCCTTCCACTCTTTGCCATGCCCCCACATTTGGCTGATGCTAAGCGTCTACTACTATACTACATATTTGCAGGATCCTTTGACTCTGTCTTTCACGCCATTTCAGAACAGTGTAAAAATTGCTGGAGAACCTGGCCGAGTTTAAAAATAAAGCTTAAAAATAAACTCTTTTATTTTTAGCTTTTGCACTAATGTTGTATTCTACTTCAATAAAAGGAAAATAACTCAACTAGTAGTGTAATCTTGTTCTGTACTGATCTGTGCCTTACCACGGTTTACCACAGGTTCCTGATGAGTCATTTCTGCCTGGCCCACGTCTTTTTTACTCTGACCTTTGTGCCTGCCCATGTACCACTGCAGTCCTTTGTCTTGCAAACGGACACTACATTTCTGCAGGAGGACAAGGCTGCTTTGATATCGCTCTGGCCCATGGAAATGCCCCAAAACTGTCAATCATCCAGCAGTACTTAAAAGGCCAGGCCATCGGATATAAACAATCACATGAGTATGCCCATTCACACAACATTTGGTTCACAGCATTCCTCAATTAGTGAAGTGCTTTGGTACTGATTTAAGACATTTCAGAAGATTGTTCTTATTAACGTTTTATAAAGCTTCCAAAATATACCTTCCTTATAGAAAGCATATCTTTAGCAAGAATAACTGCATTGCGCACCTGAAAGACAGCAAATCCTGTTCCCTCCGCTTCCACTGTAATTGTCATTGGTTGTGCAGGGGCAATCTGAAAGAAAGATGAGTAAAACAGTATTTTCAAAGTACTTTCAGTCAGGAGACTTTACGAAAGTATTCCTTGCTCTCTACAGTACCTCCTTGGTCTGAAGCAGAAAACGGTTTCGAGTATCAATTGAAAATGTTTCTGGCGTTTTCAAAGAAGGTGCTGTCACTGTTACATCCATTTCTGTTTTGCTTGCAGTAGTGAGAGTTGCAAATAGACTCAAGGCTTGCAGAGCCACCACCGTGTCCTGTTGAGAGAAACAAATCCTTCTGTATTAAACAGAAGCAGCCTGTACAGCGAACTCCCTGTGTATAGGCCATGCCTTGGGGAGCTCACGGTCCCTGCACTGTCCCACTTGTTGATTATGCTGGGGTCCTCATGCAGCCACCTCCACACCTTCATTGGGATTCCACTCTCGCATGAAGGATCCCAGCACAGAAGAGGTATGTTATCCTTGTTGCCAAACAAGGATTACAAGTTAGCTACTGTGACATGCACTGGAGAATGAGGTGGGAGCCAGCTAAGGAAGTTTTCCTCTTGTCTTCCTCTTGGAAGACCTGACATGCTGGTAGACACAACAGTCAGAATCACACACCATGCAGACAGTGAAGAGAAAGTCAATGAGGAAAGTAATGATACTGCTACTTTCTAGATTTATTTAGTGACTATGCATTAAATATCCAGTACTGCACAGGAGTTATTCAGGGTACCTTGGTCACCACAGCAAAAGCTATAGGTCTGACAAACTATTAACATTTACTAAAAAAAAGCCTGAAATGAGTTTTTATCAGACCCCCGGCAGCAATTTCAAAGGAGTTCAGCCCAGTTTTTATACTCTATATTTGATCAAAAGGATTTGTGCAATTGTTTAACCAATGCAGAATATGTTTATAAACACATTATCATACATATATCTAAAATTCTCTTTTGTTTATCTTTCTGTACAATTGCAGGCTTAGCTCTCCAGGTTTTGAACACAAAAGGCATTTTTTAAACATTTGGTCCAGCACAGTTTAGTGAATAAGAATTTTAACATCTGCTATTTTCTGGAAAAAAAATACAGTAATCAATTGTGCGTCTCTAATGCTTCTCAGGGATTTTTCCTGTTCGTGCAGTTCATTTTGCACCTATTTTTAACTAGTGACAGTGAAGGAATTGGCCTTGCAGGCTTGGCATAAAAAGGTGTTTTATTCATTCTTTGGTCACTTCTAGTAACAGAATTCTAACATAACAGAAGCTCAATAACTACAACATGGTGACTGTGCCATACCTTAAGGTACCAGCACGTGCTGCCTATTCACTCCAAATGATTAGAAACCACTCTCCTTCCCGTGCCACGTCCTTGTCTGAGGTGACCTGCTTCACTGATCAAAATCCAGAAAGATCAGCTGATTAGCAACAGTGCCAAAGTTGCTGATACGCTGAACAACTACAGCTGGGATCCCAACTCCAGTGCTTAATGTGGTGTGACAGAACAGATGCAAGTAATGGGCTAGAAGAAGATTTAATAGTCTGGAGTAAGTGGCAGACTTTTTCAGTAGGAGGCCAATATTTACCCTGAAAGAATGCCTTCGATTACTCCTTTGCAGAAGACGGTGACAAAGCATCTGAATGACTCTGCCCTTACTCAGACTACTCATATGTGAGTTTCTGATGAAGATCTACAGCTTGGAAGCCCAAACTTACAAAACTTCTTTCACATTGAAGTGAATGAAACTACAGCAACCTATCACGTCTATAGACCTATCTGATCTATCTTCTAGACCTAAGGAGCTGTAAGATCTTGTTGGAGAATCTGATTGTAAACATCTGAAACCAGAAACATGCCTGCCCTTACCAAAGTTGTGGAAACCAAGGAATACCTTGAACACGTTTTCCAAGCCCTTACACTTACATTTCTCATGTTTACATTTCTCACCCTAAACTGAGACAGAGTTCAAGATGTCTAGAAATGCTATCTGCCACTGCTGAAGCTGACTTCAGAGCTCTTCCACGTCTTAGGCTCAAATGACTCTCAGAAACACAGGTGAAAAACAAGAGGGCAAAGAACCACCACAGAGAAGATAAACGTGCCCCTTGGCATGCTCTAAAGCAGAAGACATACCCAAGGCTTTCACCAGGAAACATTCACAGCTGAAGCACAAGGTGCACGGCTCAGTACGACAATGCTGCATCCAATACACGACTTGAAAAGTTAGGGAATACGGTCTCAACCCAGACTCACAGGCCCCTCTTGCCCGGCAACACAGGCTTTGCAGAATTTGCTACTCTTCCCTACCATGTAAGTCTACATTCATATATATGCTATTTTTTGTATGGATTGTTTTCCTGTGTATATGAGATATGTACATTTTATGCCCAAACATTAAAAGCATTATAAAGCAAAATATACTGATTGCAAATTCATAGTAAGCTATACCACATATACAAATTGCAGTGAGTTATCATACCCTAACTTACAAAACATCACACATGCAACTGATTACTTTCCTCCTTATTGTTTAACAATATATTAAGTTTCTAATGTAATAAACTCATGGAAGGAAACACTCCAAACATTTTTTTTTAAAGCAATCTTAGAAGTTAACAAAAAGTATGGGGTCATTTCCACAAATTAAAAAAAGGTATCTAGAGAGGCATTGGAGTAATTTTGAAATCAAAATAGTTTAGATTATGGAAGAACAAAAGGATTAAATTAATTTCTTAACTTCACCCTCAGGGGTAAATGGTACACTGCTGGATTTTCAAACTTTCAACTAAAAATGGTTTCTGCAGAATAGAGAAAAGCTTTTTCAACTCATTTAGAGCTTCAATCAGCCTCTTCAAATAATAAGCAAGAATTAACACATTAGAAAAATACTAAAACCTCAGGGGAACCGGGCTGGTTCTTAAATTGCATTTTATTTAGTAGAACTAACTTCTCTCAGATTAATACCAACAAACATTTGAAAATAATGAAGGATAGCCTGTACAGCTTGGTACCAAGCAGTATGATGAAATGTGACATTTTACCGTGACCAGCATTTGTAGTTAATTTAAAAGCTCGTTTAAACTAATGCAATCCAAAGTACTATATAAATTTTCTGGATGCCAGCACAGCTTACAAGATGTGGTTTCAATAACATGGAAACCTCCTGGAGATAATGTAGATCTTCCAGATTTCATGGCCCATCAAAAATCTACATAATAATGAGGACAAAGTTAAGACCAACTGCCAACAGAGGCACTAGGTTAGGCTGTTTATCTAAAACCTACTCCCCTTTCTTATCTTAGTTAATAGCCTTTCAGGAGTTTGAGGACCCACATATGGAAAGAATAGAAAGAGCTTTCTCTCCTTGGAAAGAAAGTAAGCACAGATATTTATCACACTTGCTTGGAAAATCTGATTAATTATTTTTCCATGGACATCACTTCTTCTTCTTAATTTAAGATCTTTTGTTATTAATATTTTATATAATCAAGGTGACGCTCTAATTCTGTTTTTTATTATAATTTGCCAAAATACTAAAAGTGGTAGTCCAGGTTTAAGATGTCAATATCGCAAAGAATGCAAGCCAGGCTGCTAGAGCAAAACAAAATTCAGTAATTGTTACGTCAAAACAAATGGTCCCTTTTTTCTTTCTCTTTTTCTTTTTTTTTTTTTTTTTTTTTTTTTTTTTTTATACAGTGCTCATTTAGAAAGTATAACAAAGCCCCTTGAGACCAGATATTACCTGAGTAGATGAAAATCCCCCAAGGTGATTTCTTTGCTGACTTAACCATTTCATAATAGGGATCCCCTCTGCTAATCTGTCTTGATGAAAGTGCGAGAGCAGAGCATATGCTGCAAGTTCAATATCGATGGACCGAGGCTGCCATGAATCAGAAATTTCAGAAGCAGGTGTTATCCAGAAATGAAATTCTCCTGCAAAAGGAACCAATAATAACCTCAGATCCACAGACTGAAGTCTTTGGACTTCTGGGAAAGTCTTAAGGGAAACATCCTAATTAACGCTTACGTACGGGATCTAGCAAGGTTCTTTAAAACTATGTTAATGTTTAGGCATATGCCCCATAAAGGACTGACTTAAGCACATCCTCAGCCATGGCTGAATCTAGATACAAAAAAAGCTGGAGTCCAAATAGTCACTCCCATTAATTTCAGTGAACTTTACATTGATCCTTTTGTTGTCACCCTGAAGTGCCCATGTAAAGGAGCCCTTGGGAAAAGGCCACCTTGTTGCTGGGGCGCTCCTTTCTCTTCGGGACTAGAGAAGGCACCTCAGGCAGCACAGCTGCTCACTAGGCTCATTCTGGAGTGAAGCCGTCCAAAAAAGTGACTTCCTCCCTTCCCAAGAGTGACTGTCCGAAAGGCCTAACTCGGTAAACACAGAGTGACACCCAAGAAGCTCCGTTTCTAGGCTAGAACATGAATTCCTGTGGATTTTTCAAGAGGACAGTTACTACTTTGAACGAAAAACTTCCATTTCTTACACTCCATATGGTCTCCCCTGAAAACAGGGAACAAAATTCAGTCGTGCTGAACTCGGAAGAGGTTAAACATGATGTGATGATGGCTCCCTACAGAAAATGCCACACACCTCTGTATTGTCTTACAGAAAGTCCAATCCTTCAACTCTTCATTCCGGTACTGATTTTAACTAATTGCCCCGCCATACCCTCCTGATATATCCGAACTACTTTGGAATAGCTAACCCCATCCATCACTCTTTAACCACGCTTATCTTACAAGTGCACATAATAACATGGAAAAACTGGTAAGTAATGTTCTTCAACAGCACCGTGGTATTCCCATCAGGAACACAGTAAAAGAGACTGAAAGGCCTAGCTTTGTTGTGAATTGTCATTCATTTACGGACATTTTTCATTAAGGCTGTCTTGGAATTTCTTAGCTTATTCTCTACATCATACTCAAAACAGATTTGAATTCAGAAGGAGGATTCTCTTCATTTCTAATTCTATATGCAGCTGTAGATCTATGATAGGTATTTTTAAATTTGACAAAAATCCATCTCTACAACTGTATAAAATAGTTGTGCAATACCTTGGTGTTCTGCCCTCTGGTTCAGTATATTCAGTGCTTCCTTTGCTTTTGTACTTTTTGCCCAGGACAACGCATATGTAACAAGTGCCAAAGTGTAATTATCCGAAATGCCTTCTTCTAATTTATCTTCTAGAAAGTTTGTAGCACTCTTGATGACATAAGCATGCTGGAAATGAAGGTCATATTGAAGAATGTAGAGTGAATAAAATATGTATTGAAATATTATAATTTAAAAGAAAAGTTTGTACAGAAACAGAAACATTACTATCACCAAACAACAACCAAGAAATACTGAAAATCTCTTTCAGAGTCACAGGCACGAATCTCAAAGGCAAAACTTTGATCTGGCACTGTCTTTTATGAATGTGAGTAATCTCAATGAAATCAATTGGAATGACTTAACATCTCTAAGGATAGTTCCCCCCATAAATTTCTTCGCAACTTTTTGGACTAAAGCCACGACAATATTCTTGCTAAAAACAACTGCCTTTAGATTTTGCAAAGGCACATAAAATTGAAGGGCCCAACAGCACAACTTTGTATTGTCTCAGGTAGATAAGCCAAAGTACTGGGAAGTTTAACAAAATCAGGTTAAAGTTTGTCTCTGTTCAGATGTCCCTCTATTTCCTTAAACTACCAAGTGTTTGCCATGACAATTTATGAAGTATTCCAGTAAATATGAATTCTATTTAAGAACTCCAATACCTGTTTATCTGGGAACCCTAAGAGGGATGACATGATGTAAGCTGTGAGAGTGACTGGATTATTGGTGCCTCCTTGAAGATCACCGTGTAACACTTTCCCAGGCTCGTGAAATTCTCCATTTAATTTCTGATGCCGGACAATCCATTTAGTCGTATCCATGAGTACATCTTGGTCAATATCTATGAATGGACGAGCTTGAAGGAAACATCTTAATACAAAAGCTGACAACCTTGGGGAAAAGGTTAATCAAATATGTCAAAATTAGCAAGGTATTACAGCTTCTTCTGTTTAAGATGATGTAAGAATACTGTGATGCCTAAGGTGTTCTACACACACCTCCCAAGCACAGAGGAAAATACCTACTTGCCTCACCCAGACAAGCAAGTAGACTAAGCTTAATCCATCAAAAAATGAAGCTATGTTCTTGTGCCTAAAGATGATGCTTTTTGCAGCTGTTACAATTCAAAAATAAATACAGACTATAGACTCCAGGTCTGCCAGCACACATTTATCTTTATTCAAATGTTGCTCTCCTGCCTTCTGCTGCTAGGCTAAAGTGGCAAAAACCATAGTTTACAAAGTAATGCAGTTATGAGTGTGATGTTAATTATCATGATTATCCCTGTAATTATATCATTGAAAAAACCTTTGTTGTTTTATTCATTAATAATCCCAAGTTCTGCTTTGCCAAACGTGCATTCATGTAACCTGTCACTGCACTATTTAAGTACCAAGTTGCCAGTACAGATAAATTATCTTCGTTTTCCAATCCATCAATACTCAGTCTAAGGCAAATGAAAGATACTCACTGACTCCAATGAAAGATGCTCACTTACTCCAATGAAAGATGCTCACTGACTCCAGAAGGAGTGACTCAATCAGTGGCACAGTAACTGGGATGGTTCTATTTAAAGTCAGCAGCGTGTACTGAAATATATAAGTATATTTAAACTAATTGAACATGGGTTAGCTGAACAAACTGCTGGAACTTGTCTCTGTAATCTGTCTAGTTTCCACTACTATGCTCACTATGCTTCTGAAGGTGAAATTCACCACTGAAAAGGCTTTTTCAGCTGCATTTACAGTCTCAAAAAAAGGAGGTGTAAGAGAGGTAAGTCGGACAAACTTTTACCACCAGTAACTCTGTTCACCCCCTAGGAAATATGCCTCAGCCAGTCTTCTGCCTCCAGTATGGAGAGAACTAAAAATCTGTTTGAAGCAATGATGATCACATAGCCCTAAATGGTTTCAGTCAACTGCAAGAATAAGTCATTTAATTATTATTCTTCATTCCTTTGAGGAAAGCAACAGAAAAACTTTCAGACCAAGCTATACCCCTGGCTAAAATAATTCATCATTCATTTTTTGCAAAATTAAAAAGCCTTGCCCTAATAATGGCTTTGACAGCATGTTATCCAGCAGAATGATCTTAAGACTTGGCCCAAACACCTAATGAAAACCAGGCAGAAGGCTAATACAGCTGGAAATTTTTACCAGCTTCACAAAAAATTTTTAATCGCAGGGAAAATATCTAAAATGCTCAAATTCCACAGTTAATCTGGCAGAACTACTTACCATGTGCTCCCAGAGGGATCTTCATTTCCAAAGGCACTAAAAGAGCCATCATCCCTCTGGAAAAGCAGCTCTCTCTGGTAGCCTGAAGTGGAAAAGCAGAGACAGGTATTGAACACTTTCCTCTCATGTGGGTTCCAGCACAAACTGTCTGCTGATGTGAAGTGAGGCACTTTCTAAGGCTGAGAAGGGCAGAACTTGAGCTCATATTTCATAAAAAATCTCCCGAATATGTAGGAACACACAAAACCATGCAGAAGATGATGAGAAAGCGGGCAGCAGTTACACGAAGGAACCATCTACAAAAGCAGAACCAGAAGCTCCTGCTCCCACTCATCTGCCACCCAAACACGACAGCGTGGTGCAGAGAGACACGCTCCCACATAACTCGGTGTCTCCAGGATCACAGCAGCGAGCGCAGAGCAGAGCAGCAGCTATAGTTCAGTTCTTCATCGCTTTGGGGAGCTGGAGTTGTGCACCTATAGAAACGCTCTATCCTTCCAGCTGAAGGAAGGACAAGAAAAAATGAAGTATTTTCCAACTGGAAGGGCAAGAGTACAGCAAAGCTACAAATACTGCTAAAAAACAGACCCTTTCAGCAGCTTGCTTCTGCCAGATCAAAGGACTAGCTATCAGAAAAAGCCTGCTGGAAGAGGCTGTTCTGAAACGAGTGAAAAATTTCAAATGACCTGAAGATCCTGAAATCCTGAGAAGGATCCATTTAAAATGTATCTGAAGATTTTTCAGTATCCAGAACAAGTGCAGCTTTCTCCTGACTGCTGAACATCTGTAATAAAAGGGCCCCAAGGGCTCACTAGCTGCTCACGACCACCAGCAGCATCCTTACTCAATAGCTGACTTCAGTGCAGAACCAATGTTTGTTAATGTTAGAAATTAAGAACTTCCTATGATATGCTACTCACTGTAGTTTCTGATACCTAAAGCCTTCCTTCCATTACATTTTGCTTGCCACTTGTGTATCCAGAACAATAATCGCATCTATTTATAGCATTTCACAAGACATCTTTTCTTCTTTCCCCCCACCTTGTCTTTTTCCTTGACTTCACTATTTTGGCTATTATAATTAAGAAAGTGTATTCATTAGTCTAACACCTGACAGATACAGACACAATACTGAATCAGCCAGGCAGAAGGAAAACCCTCAGGCAACCATCATTAAGTCCTACACAAATGAATGAATTTACAAATACGTCCCCTGAGGTCCATCTAACTACAATCATTCCCCTGCAAAATGTTCCTTGCTTTCACTGATAAAGGATTAATCACCCGCTTACATACTATCCTGAATATAGGTACATAGTGAGTGAATCACAGCCTTAATTACTGAGGAACAAATGGCCTGGTCCCTCAATCTAAGCTACAGTGTAAGATGAAATACTAGTCAGTGTCCCTCTGTAACAGAAGAGATATAAAGATGTGAATCTGAACGGCTACAGTATACCAGTGCACCTTCCCATATAAACTCTTATCCCAGTAGCATCAGGTTTAGTTTTTGTCTCTTTAGAGGAGTTTTAAATTACAATTTCCACTTAAATATAGGGGGTTTATAACATATTTAGCACGACAGTGGTTAATTACATGATTAGAACTGGTGAATCTTTCCCATACAGACAAATCTGTCACCTCAGTTAATGATCCTGAGGAGTTAAGCACTCTTGAGTGGGAGGAAAAAAGAAGAAATGAGGGGCACTTCTCACCAAGGAAGGCAAAAGTCACTGTCAAAGTTTAAGCCTCAAAATTACATGTTATGAGGAGCACGAATATATGTGCATATACAAATAGATTGCTTCCTCTTCAAAAGTATCTGGCTGCAAGGCCTGAAAACTGAGGTCTTCTGCTTCTTTGCAGAACAGGCGATATACAGCAATAAGTATTATAATCACCACCCCCCTGGTACTGTAAAAGCACTAAACTAAGACCAACAGCCTGCTTAACAAAGACTGCTGAGCAGCCCTTACACAGGGATGAATTTGTCTCAGAATTTGTTAAGACTGGGCGGGATCAGAAAGATGAGCAGAACCAGAGGGAGGACGGAGCGATCACTCAGCTATTTCCTACAGTCTGCTTGCTTTCTTCTCAACGCCAACCCTGTTGCAGTCACGCAAAAGCCTCCAAACACGAGCGTATCTAACACGGGGAAGCCTGCAAGAAACGCTGGAACAGGAGACCTGGGGGCTGTGAACCACCGCGTTCGTTCCAACGGACACTCAATCAGACATGAAAAACGATACTTCAAATGTCAACACATACAAGTGGAAAGGCAAGGAAAAGAAGGATCCTATTATGAAGATGTACACTAGTACTCCCAGAGGACTGGCTGGAACCCAAGAGATGTAGGAGGCTCACTGAGCAAGGCTGAAAGAGAAGTGCATCAGGACGGAAAGGACTTCAGAAATATGTGAAAGACGAAAGGGTTTCACATTTCAAACAGCTTGGAAATACTGCTCAAACTCGTTGCTTGCTTTGGGTCTAGCACCAAAGTTTTCAGACCAACCAGGATTTTTTTTTATTTCTGAGGAAGTGATTTCAAGATGGGATCTGTCATTCCCACAACTGAAGGAATTTTTTTAAAAGGCAACTTTTCTTTTGCTTTGCCTTTGTTCTAGGCAAATAAAAACTGCTAAAAAAAAGATCATTAGCAGTCTCTGCTAGCTATATGATCCCTTATTCTCACAAGCATTTAGCCTTAAAATTAACTATATTTACTTCAGATTATGAGGTCACTTTTTCAAATATTTAGTCAATTCCAACATGTGAAATAAAGTCTGTTTTAAATTAAACTTCATGACAATCCTTTCAAAACTGAGCTTATAAAAGTTACATCTCAAACTAAAGACAAATTTCAACTTTAAGGTTACAATTTTAAAAAGTCTGAAATCACTTGTTAAAATAAGGCGAAAAACCACAATATTTTTTAGATTGTGGTTCTCTTCTATCTTAAGGTTACAAGTATTTCAGCATACTTACTGTTTTGGCTACTACAGCGTTAAAAACAGGTACATAAATTCAAAGCCCCAGGAACAAGTTAAGTAACACAATAGTTTGTATATGTGACATTTAATCCTGTAATTTTCACTTGCTTTGAAATAACTTTAATAAATCTGTTACTAGAAAACTTCAGAAAATTATGGTACCAAAACTCAGGCCTCGAAGAGTGGTAGATTGCTTACACACTTCAGAGTAGCTGTTTACGTAACACACCTTTTCCGCCCCACTTTACTTTTCAACTAAACCATGTAGCACGAAGGGTTTAAAAAAAATCATTTAACTGCTTTTGACAGAAAATTGGAATCTTGATGAAAGGAAGATTTATTTTGAGCTGTGTCTTTTCCAAGGTAAATGCCAACAACTTAAAAAAAAAAATCAAACACCAAAAAAAAAAAAAAAAAAAAATCGAAGACTTGCAGAGAGTAAACAAAATTTGAAAATGTCACCATGGTGCCTTAGTAGGGGTGTAGCTCACATGAGGATGGTCTCATTCCTCTCTGTGAACCAGGCTCTCAGTATGCAGACTGACACATGGCGAGCGTGGTACATCACAGTTAGACACTGATCCAAAAGGCACAGAGACGCATAGTGCAACTATGCTCTCCACGCTTTGTGATGCCCTTGAGTATTTCCCGATTAAAATATACAACAATTTCCAACTAAAATTTTCCAGCTTTTCACTTCCAGCACAGAGTTCACTTCTGATCAAGTCTAAAACTTGGGTGGGCGAAAGCCAGCCACGAGAGCAAACGCCACTCCTTGAGCTCTACAAGGACATGGCAGGATGGGGATGGTGTCACTAAAGACAGATACACACGTGGGATGAATATGGTTAGCTCTGCCCCCTGACTAATTTTCAACCTCTGTGCCTCAAGCAAAGGTCAGAAATGTTTGCTCACACGTGGTTTTATCAAAGGAGAAATAACAACCACCTAGGAAATCCATATGAATTACCTTCTAAAATGCATTTTTCATCTGAAAAAAAGTAACTATATAAAAACAACATGTTTTTAATGAGCAAACTTGCCTTTGTAAACAAAATCATTTGCTCTTCAATTCTGTCAGCCCAGAAGAAAGAGGAAAAGAAAGAGAAGATGGGCTTTTCTTCCTGTTCTCATGACACCAACAGAGCAGTATTTCAAATACCAAATCAGAGCCAGAGATACCTTTTTACTACTAAGAGTTCTTAAAAACCTAACATCTTTCTTTTAAGCATACAGACCTTTTCTCATAAATGATACAGCTTTTGATTTAATATCCTCTCTCAGCTGCCTGGTTTTAGTCAGGTATTGCAAAACATAAACATTTGGAGCAAAATTGATCATATTCTGTTCACCGCAGCCATAAGGCATCTTAATCAATGATGACAAACCGTTGATAGAAGGCCCAAGTAAATCACCTGAAAGATAAAATTTAATGAAAATAAATTAAAGCTTCTCGCAAATAAATGCATACCTCACACACAAAGGGTGGTATCATCTAAACTGGGCGAAAATATGATACATTAGGAATGTTTGTACTAAACACCACTAACCAGACAGAAAAGATACTTCATCTTCTGATCAACTTTGTGCCCACTGACCCATCTCCCCACAGATCTTTCCAACTACAGAGTAATTTCAAACAGCCACCATTTTTTAAAAAAAAAAAAAAAAAAAAAAGATATTTAATCCCGGAAAATGTTTCAGTAATGGTACATATTTGAAACTTCCTGTATTTGTTCTCTCACCCACAGTTATCAAAGCCTAGGTGTCACAAGAAACAACAATCAGTCGGGTTTTAGGTTTTATTCTGCAGACAAGCAGAATTAAAACAGGATACTAGCAAACTTTATTAATATAGCAATTAAATAAAAATTAATGCAGTCTCCTAAAAACCTGTAAAGCAACAGCCGTACTGGGCAAATTCTTCTAAGGGTCTTTCAGCAGGGGCTCTGAGAGAAGCTCTGGCAAATCCTGCTAGGGTAGCTCAGGTTATTATTACACACCAGCCTCCCTGCTCTATTTGACAGAGTTTACTTCTAGTTACTACTGGCAACTGCTCTGTCCTTTACAAACCACCTATGCCTGCAGTGCAGAAGATGCCAGCAGCTGGATTATGGACACATATATCTTAGATACTGAGTTCAACAAAAGCCTAGCAGGCAAAAAACTATTTTTAAAAAAGTATATAGCTGACCAGTAAACAATAAAGATGGAAACAGAATAAGATAATCCTTACCAACAGCAGTGACCTGCACTCTCTCACTGCCACTTACAACATCAAAAGGAAAAGTGAAATCCAAAGTTTTTGATACTGCCTGCGGTTTATTCCCAGTCAAATCCAAAAGGACTGTCTGAGAATACATCTGTTCCAATCCTTCAGCCTATCAAAATAAAGACAGGATTATTGTCATCTCCAACAGTTAGCTGCTTTTAGGACAGAAGTTGTGTGCTTACTGTACTGAAGGATCTAAAACACTGCCAGGTATTTTGTGCTGCTTGCTAACACATCAAGAACCTGAGCTATTGGCCCATCCAAACTGACACAGAAATGTTTTTCTTATAAAGACCTACCTCCACTATCTGCTTCTCGAGGCCACGTGTCAATGACAAAAATACACCCGCAAAGTCAATGAGAGCACCTCTGATTGTAGTGAGCTCCATGCCAAGCACGGAGCTCCATGGCCAAGCACATGCTAAGGCCGGGGGTGCTGTCTGCAATCCTACCATGACACTGTCATACAAGGAGGACTTAAACTGAAGTTAGGTACATGATCATAAAGGTTTCATTTCCTCATGCATGCAAAATCCTTTGAGACAAATTGTCCTTGAAGCAGAGAAAATAAATGGGTTTCTTTCCTCAGCCTACACCTTAGTCTAACAGACTTTTATTCTCTTCTGCACAACAACTGAGCTTCCACAGAAAGGGCAGTAAGCAGCTCCACCTGAAAACAATTCACAACTCTGCCAGATAGTGGTTTTAAGCAGTCTAAGTAGAAGCTGAGAGAGCTGGCCCTGTTCAGCCTGGAGAATAGAAGGCTGAGGGGGATCTCATCAATATGTAAAACACCTGAAGGGAGGGTGCAAAGAAGATGGAGCTAGGCTCTTCTCAGTGGTGCCCAACAGCAGAATAGGAGGCAACACACAAATTGAAATAAAGGGATTTCCTTTTAAACATAAAAAAATACTTTTTTAACTGTGAGGCTGTTCAAACACTGAAATAAGCTGCCCAGAGAGGCTGTGAAGTCCCCGTCCTTGGGCATATTAAAAACCTGACTGTACATTGTTCTGAGCATCCTGCTGTAGTTGATCCTGCCCTGAGCAGGAAGGTTGGACTACTCCCTTCCAACCTCAACCATTCTCTGATTCTGTGATCTTAAGCATTTATTTTAGGATGAGATGTACAAATATCTATCACCTTCCACTGAAATGGAGCTTAACATGAATCAGACTTAGATGTCCAAAGTTAGGCAAGTCTTATCAGTTTCTGGTTTATCAGAAAGTCTGGGGGCTAAATTTCCACCACTAGCAAAATACAAAAATGTTCATATAAAATAGGCTTTGAACTAAAGCCAGGTGTATGGCAAAATTGACTGCACTTAACACAGTTATTTGGTCCACCCTCCACAGATGATTAAGCTAGCTATAGCACCAGGAGTTCACTGATGTACAAATAGGTTTCACCTTGCCTTCAGAAGCATTTGACACACTATCTGTTGTAGAACAGACCTATGTGTTCATTCCTGGAAGGGGATCTAAAGAATTTTAAAGGAGAAATTATTTTAAAAGAAGTGTTTTCTAATTAAAGTCACCTGACCCAAAACCAACCTTACACAGCAAGAGGCAGACAAGTAAATTGGTTTGCCTTTTTGCTGCACTCTGTTGTATATTTTAGGAAACAATTTATTTCAGGAACAAGCCAAGCTGCAGACTGTTTACCTTTACTAAAACTTTCTGGATGATAGCATCAGAAGCAGCAGATGATATTGCTGTCACTTTGATGGGAATCTCTCCCAGCTGTTTCGGCTTGATTGGGAATTGAACAGTTTTCTCATCTTCACTTGGTACAGATATAGACTGTTCATTTTCTGTAGCATTTATTTCATTGGATGTTAGAATAATTTCAAAAGCACCATTCATATCCAGGATCACAGTAACCTGTAAATACAGTAACATTTGCAATACAAAGTGTTAATTTTGAAAAACTGCTTTCATAAGCTGCCTCTTTTTTTGTGCATAGAGAAATAGCTTTATGGTCCGCCCACTGAAGAAAATACTAAAATTCTCACAATAGAAAGATGTGGTCTCCACCGGTGATGAAAACCCTGCAGTGTCTAGTAACATTCAAGTACAAAAAGACTGTTATTTTACCTCAGCTTCTTCTTTCAAATAATTAAAGATGTTCACTTCCAAAACGAACTGCTCTCCTCTGATGACAGAGTATGGAAGGTTCAGGAAAATGAAGAAAGGTTGAAAAGCTTCTAGCTGCAAAACAAAATCAGCAGTGAGCCCCTAGAATCAGATACTACCAAGAAAATGCCTATACAACTTGTCTTCTGATCACTTTTAAATTCAGATGACAGAGTATGTTTACTTGTACTCTACAGTTAACAAAATGTATTACTGCAGGGCTGAAGCAGAAGCCAAAGATGCTTCTAGTCGTTAGCACCTTTGTGCCATTCAGATGAGAGCTGCTGACAGCTTTGACAGGGCAAGTTCCAACAGAGGCACCTGAATTGGGACTAAGAGTCTATCATCTGGCAAGTTTGGAAGCTGTGACCTGTTCTGAGATCTCATTAAGGTAACTGTGAACTGTTTTGACTGCACAAGTAATGGATGATTAAGAATCTGTCAGTTGCCCTAACTCCATGTCAATACAGAAATGCATGTTGGAATACAAAATAACTAACTCTCCCAAATTCTGTAATTCACCAACATCTTAGAATGATGTGTTATTTTGTAAGATTAATCTTGGCATAAGTTCTTTAGTTATATTTATAAAAATACATCTTTTCTTAATTAAAAGAAAAACTGCAGAAATATACCAGCAAGCAGTTACTTTTATCTGTGAACAGAGGTTTTTGGATGAAGTCTTGGCTCTAAGAAGTCAGTGGTAAGTTCTCATCAAGCTGAATGGGATCAAAATTTCACTGTTTATGAACATCTGTACAATAAGAATGGCTGAAGCATGATATCCTTTATTATTGAAATGTCAACTAAAAATGGTTTTAATTTGGTTTTCATTAAAAAAATTCTTCCAAGTGTTTTGAGTTTCAGCTTTCTTTCTAGCGAGCAAATATCCCAACGTTTTCTTTTTAAAACTTTGAAAAGTTGTTTGCTAAAGCTTTCAGTGTCAAAAACTTCATTAGATATTAGACATTAGAGAAGTTCTGATGGAGAATTTTTGATTAGTTCTTAGTCGAGGTTTTCCCTATGCACCTATTTTCTTTGTCTTTTTTGTTTTGCCTTTCTCTAAAACTGTTGCAACACTGAAGTTTTACATTCAGGAATATTCCGGTATATTACAATAAAATACAATAGGGTAAAATTATCGACTATCTGTGTAGTAGAAGTCAAATAAAAACAAGATGCAAAGCAGTAAATGACATTAAGCACGCAGATGTCACTTATTTATTTCCCCGTTACAGTTTTCATGCATTTCTTTTATTTGCCTCTCTGTATGGTACTGATTAACATGTTTCAGCCATATGGAACACTAAGCACAATCTAAACATCCCAACGAGGGTGAAGTACTGAACAGTGCATGCGGGTGACTATAGTTAAATAATAATCTCAACATCTGTTCTACTTGCAGCCTTCTCAAATTTGAGGATGAGAGGCCAAGTGTATATTTTCATACAGTTTAAATCAGAAAACTATTCCTCTTTCTGTCCCATCTCTGCCAAGCCAAGTGAAAGAGACGAGAATCATGATTCCAGTCTCAAAGGAGCCTTAGCCGCAAAATCCAGATTGGGCTCCACATTCTGTGGTGGAGTTATGATCAGGATGTTCAAAGCACATGTTCTGTGTCTGGTGTAGCAGCCAACTACAAAATCTGGACCTAGATCTCGGTTTGGATCCCAAAAGTTGCCCCTCCCCATGAGAACTTACATGGGTAGATGGCTGTCTCCAAGCTATGCTTGTACTAGTCCTGGCATCAAGTTGGAAATCTACGACCCAGCACTGCACAGTTTCAACCTTTCTAACCTTAGGCACTTAAGTGGAGTTGTCTCAGTTAGGAACATAGTTTCTCTAGGATCTCTACATAATGAATGGAAAGAGATAAATACCTTCAGAGGATTATTCAGCGTATATAAAATACTAGCTAAATAAGACTTCAAAAAGTAATTCCTATTTTAAACAGTCTAAATAACTCTCTCTAAGCTGTTTCCATGAATACAGAGTGAGCCTAGGACAATGCACTTGTACATCTGGAATCTCAGGTTAGAGACCTAACCTGAGGAGTGCTGAATTTAGCTTAAATTGCTAAACTCCTCGAACACTTGGAAGCACAAAAAGAGCCTCAGGAGACAGGAACTTGGCAGCAAGAAGCATCTCATCCCACCGCTGGCTCTCAGTGTCCTCTCTGCTCCTCAAGCTAAGTCACTCAAAAAGTAGCACCTATGTTTAGTCCAAGACTGGTTTTGACAGATAAATTAAAGTGAGGCCAGAATTTAGTCTTTAAGCAATTCTCCCACCCTCCCTCCTGGGGTGTTAGCGGAGCAGCGCAGTGGCATGATCTTTCCAGCAGACAACACGCTTCTCCCATCTCAGCCACCTCTTCCCAGCTAGTCTGTGCAAACCGCCATGCATGCACTATCAACTCATGGAAAGCCCTCTTGGCAGAGCCAAGAAGACATGGAAACACGCTGTCCTCAGGCAGTCATTCCCCCTTTCTACATACAAAGATTCTGAAGCAGGCACATCCTGAAAGTGCTCTAACAAAACAACTGCTCCAACAGAAATAGGCACCCAAGTATCTGTGTAATGTCTGAGATATTTATATGAGCAGGAAGGGGAGGCAGGTACAGTATCACATATGTCTTCAGTGATGATTCAGTTTTCTTTACAGTTTGAATACACACAGTCTCTCAATCACTTTATTAGTATAAGGAGACAGCTGCTGTTAGAACTAAAATACAGCTTCCAGTAATAACCTACAGTGTTACCAGCGTTTAAAGAACTGTCTAGTGCCATGGTACCTCCACTGGAGCAGTCATCACTCCAAGCCCGCTGTTTTCAGACATCACAAAAGCACTGGCTACCCAGGATGTGATGGTATCAGGTACAATGACTTCCATTGTGGTGTCTGTGTCAGATCTGATGGCAGAAGGGAGAGCAGACTTTCAAAAGCATCCATTTACAGACATCAGTAAGTGGACACGAATGTTTAAAATGCATCAAAAATTAAGTCCAAACTCTTGGCAGGAAAAGCTGCTGATTATCTGTTTTTCTTTTCCTAATCATTTAGAAATATTTGCGATGGGATCAAAATGATTTACAAAATTTAAATTATTTTAAATTACATGTATTTAAGGTAATTACATTGAATCACATTACATATAATCAACTTTTACAGATCCTTTAAAACAATCCCAGATGATGCTTGCTTCCCGAACTTCTCAGCTGTGAAAGAAGTCAAGATTTGTGCTTCATGACACAGGTCAGATTTCACCATTATTTGACAGTTTGAACTGCTCATTGAATTAGGTGCAGACAGGAGCAGACTTCCCTCTCTGGGCTGATCACCATCTTCTCATGTACTGTAGAGGAAAAGACTGGGTCTCCCTATCTGTTATCTCCCCATCTGTAAAAGAAAGCGAGTTTCTTTTGTCTCCAGGATTTTTATCTAGTTTCTATTGAAAATACAAGGCCTTCAGCCAGGCACTGTCCTATTTTGTGCAGCTGCACAATGCCTCATCTGGTGGGTCTCCAGTCTCACTTGTGGCCTCTAGGTGGTAGTAGAACATAAATAATACTACATTTTTAAGCAGCGTTCTTCAGCACCACTGCAGAATGCTACTGAAGCCTACAAAATAACAATGGCAAGTGTAAATCAGTTTCCATTTGCTTCTAATCTTATACCTGGTTTTAGTGTCGATCCAAAGCCAAGTCTCTGGAAAGTGTGTCCTCACATAGAGATTGCTGAAATCAGGAGGTCCATTTTTAGAAACCGGCATATCATCACCAAAACCATCCTCTATGGGTATCATTCCACCATCTACAAAATAAAAAATATTGTCCTACCTACAAAAATCTAGGTTTAAGAAAAATCAAATTAATACAGTTAAGAAAAGTCAAATTAATGCAGTGTTTGGAGTATAATCTATAGCTTTGTTACATATGGTAACACTATTCTGTGACATTAGGAACTACTTTTTTTTCTTGCTTGTTTATTTTAAGAATTAAAAAAGTTTCACACAAACTTAAATTTTTACGTGGCCTCTCTGGAGTGCTGGTGTAATACGGCTACACATGACAAACCACTGCAACATATATCAACTGGAATTGCAAATAAAAACTCCATTCACCCTCAGAACTTTAAGGGGTAGTGTCGCTCAGGACAGCAGAAAAACGAAGTTTTTAAAATACTAGTCATATGCATTTTGTATGTCTTGAACCTTGGAAATGGTAATGGTTTGCAAGGCTGGATGCAGCCTGTATGCAGTACAGTAAGAAGACCTAATAGGGGTCCTAACCCATGGACCTCCTTCCCCACTCAGTAAATTAGATTTGGCTACATTTATTTTTATTACTTACAAAGAAAATGTTCCTTATCCTCCTCAAGAATTGCATCAGTTGATACCCAAAGGCTGCATTTCTGGATAAAATTTATACAGTATATCTCAATACAGGACATTCAGGACATCAACAGTGCTTATCTATTTTCTTTTTCTTTTCTTTCTTTTTAAGAAAATAAAGTCATCATAATAAAGCAATCATAGAACTAAAGCAAGTAATATACAGGAACCAACAAAACTGAGATCATCTGAATCTGAATATTGCCTTAATGACTGAAAACCTTTCAAAGGGAAGACAATATCAAGCATAAACCAATCCATATTCATGAAAGTATAAACATACTTCACAATTCAAAACCCTTACAAGCCATGAAAACAGTACATTGTCTACAGTCCCAAACTTTAAAAAGGGCATTTTCTTCTAGCAAGTGATGTGCAAATCATTAAGCAGTAAAAAAACCCAGCTTAGAATTAAAAAAAAAAGTACCTGAAAGACACCAAAAGAACCTCTGACCAGGGGGAAATACTGCACTGTGCTGTATAAATTGAGCTCATGGAAGACCTAAGACAAGAAAAACAAAATCATCCAAAGAGTGACAGCAAACTCACATTTTTCAGAACTTTTGCTGTTGTAGATGCTAATTCATGGAGGTACAGCTCTAAGAAGCGTGCTTAGCCCTCATCAAAGAGAAAAGAATCTGTGACAAGATGAAGGGGATTAGGCTGCAATGGTTTCATGAAGAGTGACCAAGACTATATAAGCCTAAAATAGGAGCCTACAGCCCACTGATATTCTATGGCACTTAGGCTATGTCATTTGAGCACTTTAGGAATGATGTATATTGTCAGCTCTTTCAAATTGTTGACGCACTAGAGCTTCTGCAAGTAAAGGGAATTCAAAAAGATGAGTAATTTATTCTGCTCTTCAAAAACTAAAATTCTTTCTTTATTTTACATTACTAATTTTAAAGAACACAAAGCACAAATCATTAGGGAGTTTTTCCAACTTTTTTGTCTTTCCTGAAAGAAGAAACTGCGAAGTGTTAACTGAACAGTCTATCAAATGGAAGAACAATACAGTATTAATTGGAATTAGAAACGCTGCGCCTATTACCTTGTAAGCCTTACAGTCTTTTCTGCGCGTGTTGATAAACTACTTGCAGAAGTAAAAAATATTTGCATAATTAAGGACTAAAAATCCTGCCTAAAGAACATTACTCACTCAGCATATAAACTATAACATTTCCATAAACATACATCTTTCATACACACAATAATGAAAACCTTTTTTCCCATTTACTTACAGAATCTTCTGTTATATCACTACTTTCTCCTAGAAGCTTTGTACTTTTATCAACAACTGCAAGTCCAATTACTGATCCTGGTTCTGTTGTACTGATTTTAAGGGAGACTTTCTCAGATGGTTTGACTTTATCTTTGCTCCAAGAGATTTTAATCTAGAAAAAAGTAAAAAAACAGCACTGGTTTAAATTATACAGTGATATTTACAGCCACTAAGAACTCCGAGGAAGCATTTTCTTAGCTTAATTGGCTATAATTAAGACTCTGGATTTGCTTTTCCTAGGACCTTTGGGAAAATACTACAGCGTTCATTTTGCTCTCTTGCTCCCCTAGCTCTTCAGTTCCTTGGACTGATGGGAAGTCAGCATTAGGATCCATTATCATTTCAACCAGCTCTTAGTATACAAGCAGCAATCTCTTGAGCCACAAGAATACACCAGTTTCTACAGCTGAGGGCAGTAAAAGAAACGCATTCGCTCTTTATCAATGCACAACACAGCATGTAACGTATTTAGGGAAA